GTCTCTTGATATCTATGTATCTATCTATCTAAGTTTCTTAATATCTATGTATCTATCTATCTAAGTATCTTAATATCTATGTATCTATATATCCAATCAACTGAGATAATAAACATTTTCTTTTGAATAACAAAAAAGAAATGGTTTCTATTACAAACATCACTGAAAATAGTTTGCTTTCTTTCTCCCGACTTCATTTACTTTCTATTAGTAGTCACAACCATATTATTGCAAATCTATTCAGGTATATTACGAGTGGCTTCGGGTAGGCTGAAAAACCAGGAGCATTGTACGTAAGTATCTTGCTGAATTACACAGCTAAAACACTTTAATGAATGATGACTTCAACCCAGTCGGTTGGTTTGTCTGTTGTGAGCACCGGGTGACCTTTGAGCATTTATAAACGACGCTTACTAAGCAATAGTATTTGTCAGAGAAGGTAAATGAGCGGGTATATTGATCTCTAATACAGAGGACTGCGTTAAAGACAAAATTTTAACTTCCAAAGAAAATTTGTTGACGCTTTCACAAAGGGATCACAAAGCAATGGTTTGCTTCTCTTAAATATCACATATGAGGATTTTACATGCTGTAAAGACGTTCAAAATGCTGATATATGTCTTTACTACCTCGCTGTGGAGTAATGGTTAGTGCAGATCTACTGAACAGTCACCCAACAAAAAGAAACTGAACTGTTGATTAAATGTGCAAGGGAAAATGACAAAAAAAAATTCTGTTGTAGTTTTTGAAGTGGCCAATCTATTTTTGGTTTTGCTATAAACCAGATTCTGAAGCTTTCGGCACAGTGGGTGGATATCAATTTGAATTTGCAATAACCATTCTTTTATTACAAGAAAAACATTAAGCTTTTCTATACAGGATGTAAGCATTTCAGAGCTCTTCCCCACAACCACCCACTACACATTTGCATATATAAGCTCTTCATATTTATGGGTTACATAATAGGGCATATAAGGTTCTCAACAACTGGCAACCAATCTAGGAGAAGGAATATTCTGCAGTCAAAACTGTTGAGAGAGCAATGAGAAAAGAAGTTCAGTCACTTTCATTAGAATAAGAGCGTGGCCATTTGCATAATTTACAGATATAAAAAGAAAAAGGAAACAAATGTAACATGATGTTTAGGGAGCATATGCAGCTGTTTGCATTTAAGTACATGCGCGCAATATATATATATATATATATATATATATATATATATATATATATATATAAAATACTGAAAAGGTTAATGGTAGAGTTGGATAAGACCAGGAAACAGTAGTATTAAAAGTGTGAAAAATAAAAATAAAAATTTAACATGTAGAACTTTTAAACCTCGGTTTCAGTATTTTGGTATTGTTAGGTAGTTTGGATAAATTGATTTCCCAATCCTTTATTTTAAAAGAAAAAAGAAAAGAAAAAAAGGATACCGAAAGGTTGAAACCAAGGTAACGGAATTGACTGATCTCCTAATATTTTAGGATATATATATATATATATATATATATATATATATATATATATATATATATATTTATTACATAATAGAGAAATCCAAAATTACTTCATAAGAATAGCTATTTCAACGAGACCTTACTACGTTGGCATTTTTTTGACTCAGTGTGTAGATATAAATTCAGAAACTTAAATATTTAAAAAGGAAGAAAAGAAAAGGGAAATAAGAAAAAATATACATATATATAGAGATAGATAGATAGAGAGAGAGAGAAAGAGAGAGAAAGAAAGAGAGAGAGAGAGAGAGAGAGAGACTGTATACATAGTATCTGTCTCTTCATGAAATAAACATGTAATATTGTATTTCTGTTTCACTCTGTCCATTGTGTGACCTGAAACTAACGATGTACATATTTATAAATGTGTGTCTTTTTCTCATTTGTATTAATAAAAACAAAATAGAAAAGATAGAGTAGGGAGAAGAGTATTTATGATTATTCTAAATATCCAAAAGGAAAGTCATTTTACGGAATGGGTGAGAATGGGGTGGGAGCAGATGTTTGCAATGTTTAAACTTAAGTCATGTATTTAAAGACTCTCCGAGGTTACCTAGAGAATGCATTATACACAAACTATAAATCAATTTTGCTAGCCACCTCTTTTTTTTGTTTTTGTGTGTGTGTGTAAATAATGTGTGCGTGTGAATAGGTGAAACTGACTGCTTACCGAATCATACAAATTATACCAATACATAATATAAGTAAATGGTCGGCGCAACACAATCTTCCTATTCTTTCCTTTATACTTTCTTTCCACATTTGTTCAGGGCTGAACTAACCAAAAAATAACTTTTTGATGTTTAACCATAGCTTACTGCAGTACAAGGTTAAATGGTGAGGAATAGGTTTTCTTTGATGAAAGATTATATACACCATTTCTTTTTACAATGGGGTGGGTGTACCTGTCTTGGAAGGCAGCAATCAGTTTCTAAGAGAAGGAACTAAATAAGCTCAAAGACAGCCAGGAAGAAATACACAACTATCTCATCTACCAAATAATTCCTGACCAAACACCTTTTTATGCAATAATAATAATAATAATAATAATAATAATAATAATAATAATAATAATAATAATACACACACGTGTACCTCTCTGGGGTAAAATTTTTCTTGATATTTGATTCAAAGAGCTGGAATAGTTTAAAGAGATGGCGTTAGGTATGATGATTGCTTTTGGTTATACATACACTCACGGGAAAATTAAGTTTTAAAAAGGATCATTGTACTTAGATTTTAAATTATTGCTGAGGTCCATGGCGAATAGATGCATTTAAAAAACATACATAAAAAACAAAAGCTGATTAAATAAACAAAAGTTAATTTGTGTTGAACAGCGAATAATAAATTAGTTTCCTAGATCACCAATGTGTTCGATCCTTGTTGATTACTTGACATATGTGCTTTCATATCACATTTTTTTTTAAGCGTTTCACCCCAAGCAAGGCAGGAAGCCACTAACACGTAATGGGTTACAGAGAGTTGAAGCGAGAGCAGATAGGAGTGATAGAGGAAAGGATGAAGAGAAGGATAGGGGATAGATCAAGGAATCTGGAGACGTTGATTGACACTACATTTGAATAATTGGAGATTATAGCTATCAGGGAAACAGGAAAAGGGGAGGGAGTTCTACTGGTGAGAGGTGTGAGACATGACGCTATTGGAGTAGAAGAGACGGTTACACATAACAGTTTCGACAGTGAAAGGATGTGAGCGAGATGCAAGCCTAATAGAACGCTTAAATTCATGAAGTCTGGGAACCAGCGAAAGCAGCTCATCGGAGCAGTTACTATGAAATTATTTGTAAAAAAGACAGAGGGAGGCGACGGTACATCTGTGAGAGAGCGACTGCAGACGAGATGCCAGATCAGGGCCAATTATGTTGCATATCCGTCTCTGGATCTTATCAAGAACCTTGAGACAGACAAAAGGGGCTCCAGACCATATATGGCAACAATACTCAATGCAAGGGCGAATGGCTGATTTAGAGTGGATATCTCTAGGTTTGTCTATTTTTGTTGCATTTCTTCCATCTACATTCGTGTTTAGTATTCGAGCCCAAATAAAATTAAAAATAAATAAGTCAATAAATAATAAACAAATTTGAATGCTGATTTTTAGTCAAGAAGTCTCTCCATATTTGGAAGATTGGCACAACACAATCTTTCTAAGTTCTATTTAGCTTTTTACTGTACCAAGTTTAGTAAATAATCCAACTGTTTGGAAGAGAGTCTGTCTGGATTAAAAATTGTCGTTAAAAAGTCAATCTTTTAACCAGTGGCACCAGACGACCGCAGTTGAGAGATGCAAAAGTTTCCAGTTAAAGATTCCTTTTCAACAGTGCATTCCATGTGTAATTTAAAAAAAAAAAAAAATATTGGAAAATGTTGCATTCATCTAATTAGAAATAACGAAGATGATTAAATAAAAATACGTGAGCGCATTTAATGTAGCATGGAAACAGGTGAGTGGACAATTGGCAATTTTCCAAGGCATCAAACACACTTTTCTGTTTTTAGCGACTCTGCTTTTAAGGCCATCATTAAAAAATATCTAATATTTCTTCATCACCTAGATTTTTATTACGATAAGACTAGTGTCAGAGCAAATCAGTTAAGCAAGTTGTAAGTACATTTCACTATTATGCAGCTATAGTCAAAATAGTCATATGGCTAAATAAAAGCCTATCAAGAAATAAAAATACATTTATGGCCCAATTTCTGAATAGATGATATTGATTAAATAAATTTCTTGCAAAAAAAAAAACAAAAAAAAAAATAAAAATAAAAATAAAAACAAAAAAAACAAACAAAAAGTCAATATTTTTGTCCTGATAATCAGAACAGAACTTTTATAAAATGACGTCCATGTATCCTGAATTTAAAATTAGTGTACAGTCGGAATGGTTATCTAAGAGAATATCTAATCTGATTCTAAACGGATGCAGGTGCTTGTTTTTAGTACAAGGGTTGTTATCTTGAGAGTGGAGAAATTGGCATGCACCCATCTCTTCTTTCTCTCATAAACAACACCCAGTTACCCACCCGGCAAAAATCGTACGATGATGTGCAGGTGTTTGTGAAGAAATGGGTTCAAGGAAAGATATTTTAATCTGAAAATACGGTGAAGAAGCAGCGACGTGTAAATTGATAAAAAAAGGTCTTATTGCATTTCTTTTCCTACAAGGATGGATCCCCACCCCTCTGACTAAGTCTGCTTATAGATACAGATCTACATATTTATCTCAGTCTGTTTATATCTGTCTATGTTCATACCTATCTATCTATCTATCTATCTATCTATCTCCTTTTCCTATCTATCTATCTATCTATCTATCTATCTATCTATCTCCTTTTCCTATCTATCTATCTATCTATCTATCTATCTATCTATCTCCTTTTCCTATCTATCTATCTATCTCCTTTTCCTATCTATCTATCTATCTCCTTTTCCTATCTATCTATCTATCTATCTCCTTTTCCT